CCAACGAGCCCGAGCAACGATCAGGCCTGCGACGGTTTCAGTGAATGAGCTCACAAAGGTTACAAAAATTGAAAAGGGAAATATTTTGGATAAATATGTTGTTTCTAAATCTTGACTGTGAATTGTGAAGAGGGAAAAACCTTCCATTGGATTGTAAGGAAACATTTCAAAACTTGGAATATTGCATTTTTATTTTTATTTTAAATCATATTTTGTTTGACTAAATTTCACATCTTGGATTTAAAGTTTGTGTTGTGTCATAATTATTAGTTACAGAGTTTATAAGTGATAAGGGTTACTAAAATGTAAAAATGAGGTTTAACATGTTAGATAAATTCATTATTCTTAGTGAAGATTAAACAGAATTCATATTATTTTCCTCCTCCTTGAACCGTCACCTTATCGTGGTGGAGGAGTTTGAGTGCCCTAATGATCCTAGGAGCTATGTTGTCTGGGGCACTTGGTGCCCCTGGTAGGGTCTCCCATGACAAATTGGTCTTAGGTGAAGGGTGAGACAAAGAACGGTTCGAAGGATCTTTCATGGCGGTTAAAACGAAGAGTCGGAGTACCCGGCCCGGAGGGTTACCGGGGTCCCACCCTGGAGCCAGGCCTGGGGTTGGGGCCCGTGAGCGAGCGCCTGGTGGCCGGGCTTTCGCCCATGGGGCCCGGCCGGGCCCAGCCCGAACCGGATACATGGGCTCGTCCAACTGTGGACCCACCACCCGCAGGAGGAACATGAAGGGTCCGGTGCAATGCGAATCGGGTGGCAGACCAAGGCGGGAGCCTTGGCGGTCCAATCCCCGGACAAGAAAACTAGTTTTTGGGACATGGAACGTCACCTCGCTGGCGGGGAAGGAGCCGGAGCTTTTAGCAGAGGTTGAGCGGTACCGGCTAGATATAGTCGGACTCACCTCGACACATTGCATTGGCTCTGGAACCCGAGACCTGGAGAGGGGTTGGACACTCTACTTTGCTGGAGTTGCTCCGGGTGAGAGGCGGAGGGCTGGGGTTGGCTTTTTGTTAGCCCCGAGACTCTCTGCCTGTGTGTTGGGGTTTACCCCGGGGGACAAGAGGGTAGCTTCCTTGCGCCTTCGGGTCGGGGAACGGGTCCTGACTGTTGTTTGTGCTTATGGGCCAAATATCAGTTCAGAGTACCCACCCTTTTTGGAGTCCCTGGGACGAGTGCTAGATAGTGCTCCATCAGGGGACTCCATTGTCCTGCTGGGGGACTTCAATGCTCACGTGGGCAATGACAGCTTGACCTGGAGGGGTGTGATTGGGAGGAACGGCCCACCTGATCAGAACTCGAGCGGTGTTTTGTTATTGGACTTCTGTGCAAGCCGCAGTTTGGCCATAACGAACACCATGTTCGAACATAAGGATGCCCACCGGTACACTTGGTACCAGGGCAGCCTAGGTCACAGGTCGATGATAGATTTTGTAGTCGTATCATCTGACCTGCGGCCGTATGTTTTGGACACCCGAGTGAAGAGAGGGGCGGAGCTGTCAACTGATCACCACCAGGGTGTGAGTTGGATCAGATGGCAAGGGAACATGCCGCGTAGACCTGGCAGACCCAAACGCATAGTGAGGGTCTGCTGGGAACGCCTGGCAGAAGAACCTGTCAAGACGGTCTTCAACTCCCACCTCCGGCAGAGCTTTGACCACGTCCCGAGAGCAGTGGGGGACATTGAGTCCGAGTGGGCCTTGTTCCACTCTGCGATTGTCGAGGCGGCTGTTGCTAGCTGTGGTCTTAAGGTGGCCGGTGCCAGTCGTGGTGGCAACCCCCGTACCCGCTGGTGGACACCAGAGGTTCGGGGAGCCGTCAGGCTGAAGAAGGAGGCCTACAGGGCATGGCTGGTCTGTGGGTCTCCGGAGGCAGCAGACAGGTACCGGATAGCCAAGCGGGGTGCAGCAGTGGCAGTTGCCGAGGCAAAATCTCGGGCGTGGGAGGAGTTTGGTGAGGCCATGGAGAAAGACTATCGATCGGCTCCAAAGAGGTTCTGGCAAACTGTCCGGCGCCTCAGGAGAGGAAGGCAGCAACTCGCTCACACTGTTTACAGTGGGGATGGGGAGCTGCTGACGTCAACTGGGGCTATAGTCGGACGGTGGAAGGAATATTTTGAGGAGCTCCTCAATCCCACCAATGCGCATTCCGAGGAGGAACCAGAGCTGGGAGGCCTGGGGATGGACTGTCCGATCTCGGGGGCAGAAGTTGCTGAGGTAGTCAAACAACTACACAGCGGCGGAGCCCCGGGGGCGGATGAGGTTCGTCCTGGGTATCTCAAGGCTATGGATGTTGTAGGGCTGTCATGGTTGACACGTCTCTACAACATTGCGTGGTCATCGGGGGCAGTTCCTAGGGAGTGGCAGACCGGGGTGGTGGTCCCCATCTTTAAGAAGGGTGACCTGAGGGTGTGTTCCAACTATAGGGGGATCACACTCCTCAGCCTCCCTGGAAAGGTCTACTCCAAGGTACTGGAGAGGAGGGTCCGATCGATAGTTGAATCTCAGATAGAGGAGGAGCAATGTGGTTTTCGTCCTGGCCGTGGAACTGTGGACCAGCTCTATACCCTTGCAAGGGTGATGGAGGGGGCATGGGAGTTTGCCCAACCAATCCACATGTGCTTTGTGGATTTGGAGAAGGCTTATGACCGTGTCCCCAGGGGCACCCTGTGGGGGACGCTCCAGGAGTATGGGGTGGGTGAATCTCTGTTAAGGGCCATTCAGTCCCTTTACCAGAGGAGCGTGAGTTTGGTCCGCATAGCCGGTAGTAAGTCGGACCTGTTCCCAGTGAGGGTTGGACTCCGCCAGGGCTGCCCTTTGTCACCGGTTCTGTTCATCACTTTTATGGACAGAATTTCTAGACGCAGCCGTGGTGTGGAGTGTGTCGAGTTTGGTGGCAGGAGAATCTCGTCTCTGCTTTTTGCGGATGATGTGGTCCTCCTAGCTTCATCCAGCTCTGACCTTCAGCTCTTGCTGGGTAGGTTCGCGGCCGAATGTGAAGCGGCTGGGATGAGGATCAGCACCTCCAAATCTGAGACCATGGTTCTCGACCGGAAAAGGGTGGCTTGCCACCTCCGGGTCGGGGGAGAGGTCCTACCTCAAGTGGAGGAGTTTAAGTATCTCGGGGTCTTGTTCACGAGTGAGGGTAGGAGGGATCGGGAGATCGACAGGCGGATTGGTTCGGCGTCTGCAGTGATGCGGACGCTGAGCCGATCTGTCGTGGGGAAGAGGGAGCTGAGCCAGAAAGCCAGGCTCTCGATTTACCGGTCGATCTACGTCCCAATCCTCACCTATGGTCATGAGCTTTGGGTAATGACCGAAAGAACGAGATCGCGGATACAAGCGGCCGAAATGAGTTTCCTCCGTAGGGTGGCCGGGCTCAGCCTTAGAGATAGGGTGAGGAGCTCGGACATTCGGGAGGGACTCGGAGTAGAACCGCTGCTCCTCCGGATCGAAAGGAGCCAGTTGAGGTGGTTTGGGCATCTGGTCAGGATGCCTCCTGGACGCCTCCCCGGGGAGGTGTTTCGGGCATGTCCTGCCGGCAGAAGGCCCCCGGGTCGACCCAGGACACGTTGGAGAGGTTACATCTCCAATCTGGTCCGGGAACGCCTTGGGGTCCTGCCGGAGGAGCTGGTGGACAAGGCCGGGGAGAGGACGGCCTGGAGCTCCCTAGTTGGGATGCTGCCCCCGCGACCCGGACCCGGATAAGCGGAGGAAGACGAGACGAGACGAGACATATTATTTTCACTAAGTGGAGGACATTAAGGTTTCTAAGGAAAAAGGTTAAAACTGGTTAGTCATTGTTTCTCCTGTTTACCAATAAGATTAATTAATGTACCCAGGGCCCCGCTCATAGTACTATCACCATCTTAACCGAGGGTTAATCCAGAGCTACTTGAGTTGGGTGCTACACTCCTATATGACTTTGATCTGTTTGTATCTTGGGGTTTGTCCTTTTTACTGTACAGCACTTTTGGTCAGCTGTCATGCTGTTTTTAAATGCGCTATATAAATTAACATGGTATGGTAGGGTACATTCACACACTGGTGGTGATGAGCTACGATGTAGCCACAGCTGCCCTGGGGCACACTGACAGAGGCGAGGCTGCCGAGCACTGGCGTCACCGGTCCCTCCGACCACCACCAGCAGGCAACGTGGGTTAAGTGTCTTGCCCAAGGACACAACGACAGTGACAGACTGAGCAGGACTTGAACCTGCAACCTTCTGATTACGGGGCGAGTACTTAACTCCTGTGCCACCGTCGCACCGTCGGATAAAAGCTCTGGTGCGCCTGTTTCAGCACAGAGTATTCAGCTGGAGGAGAATGTAGCTTCAGATGACAGGATTTGGATTCTTATAACTTCTTCCCTCTCCCTGTCTAACAGCAACACAACTCTACCACTGACTCCGTTCTATAACGTCGATGTTTTATCTCAACACACAACTCAAGCCTGGAGGAGTTCTGCTGTGTGGTGGAGTTGCTAATGCTAATAGTTAGCTTCTACTACCTGAGACAATCTCTGCTGTTTCCTGGACGCTGAACCAACAACAGCCTTCCCCGTCGTGAGTCGAGATGAGTGAGTCCATGAATTCTAAGTGACAGTGTGACGTAGATCTGTCAGGATTTTCTGATCCTTGTTTTTTACCGTCTGTTTTCTATCAGAAGCCAATGCAGAAGATAGGTGTAGGAGACTATTTTAATGTTCAGCCTGCATGAAAAGCTCAGAGTGACTGAGTTCATATTCAAAATAAATTTTTCTAATGACCAATTAAAAATCCAAAGAGCTGCTCTGTGGTTTTGGTTGTTTTAGAGTTAAAGTCAGCTTTATACTTCCAGGCTGTTTTCTCCTCTGTTGATCAGCATTGGTACTAAAAAGAGCATTAAGCTGGGTTGTGTTACTAGGTTATCTATCTTGTTTGTTGTCTGCAGGCTCTGAGCCCTGAATTACCCGATGCCCTGAAGTCTGTGAGTTATGCAGGAGAATCCTTTTACCTGACGTGCAGCTAAGTAGTTCTGGGTTGGTGGCTTTTGCTGGTTCCCTGCAGGAGGGGGTGGAGGTGGAGCTCCTTTGGGCCTTCCTTTTGGGGCCTAAGATTTAAGCCAGAGGTTTGAAAAGTGTTGAACCGTAAAAACATTTGTGTCTGAAGCACAGTTACCTCTCCAGCTGGAGTGGGATAACTGATGTCTGGGACTCGGTATAGAGGAGGAGCAGAGCCTCCTATTGGTACCTGCATCTTCTGTGAACTGGAAATGTGAACACACATTCAGTATGCAAAAAAAAACACATCAGCATTAAAATGTCTGCTGGGGTGAAGATTACTTACGTTGGAAATGTGGGATTTTGTCTCTTTTTCCACATGAAGCCCACCACACCACAAATAATACCGAGGAGCAGAAGAATGACCACCAGAGAGATGCCGACGATTGTCCCTGCGGCGATGAAGAGCAGAAATGTTGGGTGGGATGCAGCAGAGCAGGACAGTTTGTGTTAATGAACACTTTACCAGTGGAAAGAGAGTTGAAGGCCCCATCATTTGACTCACAGCTAGGAGGCAACCAGCCAGGCTCGCACTGACACTGACTTCTGTGGTTACAAACCTGGAATCACACCAGCAGCTCTTTAACTTCATTGCTATGTGGTCTGCTCAATAGTTACATCCCTGTTGAACACCAGCTTGTGGATTCCTGCTCATCATGCCTCAGCTCATCAGGTTTAATACATGCGACCTCTGACGTGTTCAGTAAACAGACTCTGGCTAACATGGTTTTGTCACAGTTATTTTCATGCTGATTATCATTAATATCAACCAGTCATATTTTACTACAACTAAACGGAGACTTTACTGATATTTCTAATACATTTGCAGTGGTCTCTAGTAGGAATGAATGTCTTATAAGTGAAACAGGTGCACCAGAGCTTTTTTTCCCCGCACTCTGGGGAAAAAAGCTTCAGTGTGCCTGTTTCAGAATTCAGCTGGAGGAGAAGGTAGCTCCAGACGACAGGATTTGGAGTCTTATTTCCTGATATTTGGACATCTCTGGCTAACAGCAACACGACTACCACAGACTCCACTGGTTCTGCTACGTTGATGTTTTATCTCCACAAATAACACAAGCCTGGAGGAGTTCTACTGTGTGGTGAAGTTGATAATACTAATGGTTAGCTTCTACTAGCTGAGACGTTCTCTGCTGTTTCCTGGACGCTACACCAACAACAGCCTTCCCTGTCGAGAATCAGGATGAGTGAGTCCATGAATGTTAAGTGACAGTGTGACGTAGCTCTGTCAGGAATTTCTAATCCTGGAGTTTCACCGTCTATTTTCTATCAGAAGCTAAAGCAGGAGATATGTGTAGGAGACTATTTTCATATTCAGCCTGCATGAATAACTCAGAGTGACCGATTATAATCAGAAATAATAATAAAAAAAGTTTTTTAGTGAAGTTGATCTTGAAGTTTTAAATACAACTAAAGTTCCTCCAACGTCCTACAGCTTTAGAGGAACAAGTGCAAAGTTAAAAATGTACATTTCAGGATTGAACTTATGACTTTGCTCAGCCTGAGACCGTACTCACAGCGTGGCCAGGGCAGTTGGCAGAACAGTTTGTGTTTCTGTAGGCAGCTTCCAGACCCATGCACTGATTCTGGCTGCACACCTACCAACAACACAAGACTTTATTACTGCAGCGGGTGGACCAGAAAAGACCACGTCTGCTGTTTGATAAAAGGAAGAACGCACTTTTTCATTTCCACATATCGTCCCTTCATCCACCTGGCCGTAATCTTTGGTGTAGTCACTGTAGAAAGATGCCTTGCAGTTCCCGATGGAGACCATCTGGCCGTAGTTCGGGTTGTCATTGCCACCGCTGCAGAAAAGCTTCCCACAGAAAACATCCCTGAACAAAAAGAGACTGATACTGAGCTTCAGTATTCCAGCGGAACAAACTACAGCTATCATTAAACTCTCACTCACGCTTGCTGGCAACCAACGAACTGGGTGTTTGAGAGGCGTTTGCAGAAGCCGTAGTAGGTCCCCTTGGTGTTATAGTTGAAGCAGGACTGGCCAGCTTCTGTGGCCGCTGAGAGCAGGGTAGGAGCACATGGAACCACCGTTATGCATCTTTAGATTGTGAGGTGTTAACGTCTTTCTTCAAAGACACTTACTGGCCCCATAGAGCTTGATGCACTGGCTTGACCTCTTTGGACACTGGCCGTTGAAGCAGTAACCCTGACCTCCATCACAGGGGAGCCCGTTCACAGCAAACACGTCCTCCGGACAGGTGGGACTGCTCCCATCACAGTACTCTGCCAGATCACAGACATCCTGCTTTCTGCGGCACTCCTCGGACCGAGGCAGTATCTGTTGTGTTACAATCCGAGCGTTTGATTCCTGAAGCCGGTTTTCTCACAGTCCAGAGCTCTGTAGTTATGCTCTATCTGTTCTCCCATTACCCCACAGGACCATCCAACACTGCCTCTCCCCATATGAGATGGATGTCTGAAACCCACCTCATCTGCCTCCTATTAATGTAGATGACTCACGAGTCACCAAGCTTAACCACTGCTTGTAATCCCAGTCTCAGTCGATCAGTCATTACTCCCTAGCGCCCCCTAGGGCCATTTGACTATGTCGGACCCAGACTGAGTCATGTTCAGTTATTCTTTCTTTCAATTTAGGAACACAATTCCTCTCAGACCTATGATGCCAAATGGGAACTCATTGTGGAGTACCTGGTAGCCCCTGGGATGTGACGAGGCGTGGTCTAAACCAGATACATAGGACCATCCACCCGCTGACCCAGAACCAACTAAAGCTTAGGTCAGGGATCAGCAGACCATCTGATGCGGCTCTCTGTGCTTGTAAAATAGTGAATGAATATTTAATTAAACTGTGTTTTATTTTACTGCATACATTTTTTGTCTGTATACCAATTCTAAATGTAAGGACTGTCATGTTTTAAAATCTAAACAAAAATGATAAAGACCTGAAATGACAGGTCACCTGCTTAGATGTCTCTATAGGTGCTTTCTGAGCTGAAGAGGATGAGATTCTGGACTTTTCCTCAGACAGGCTCATGGATGCGTCACCACATTGGAGACAGGAACAAGCGCTATTCAGCCAAAGTTTCATCAGGGAACATTTTTTAAGTGACAAGTCTCTCTGAGAGACCGGTTTTGGAGACCGCTCTGGTTCTGCTGCTGCCAGCAGGGGCAGACTGGGACAATAATTCAGGCTGGGAACTTTGAAACCATCCCAGGCCACCGCCTGATCCACGCTAAACACTAAAAGTGAGTTAGGTTGGGCGCCTACTGTAAAAGTGTAAAGCAACTAAATTAAAGCTTCACATGTGCCCTGATTCTTTCCTCTCAAATATAAATATGTGTGCTCTGCTGCTATAATCTGCTTTTGTTGCATAAACTAAAGTTCTATTTAATCCTGTTAAACATGCCTCCTGCACATTAGATGAAATATGCCAGACACCATCATCCACCAGAACTTAAGACGGGTACCAGACTACATGTCTGGGTCAAGAGAATCACACCACAAGCAGAGACATAAAAAGTGTGTGTGTGTGTGTGTGTGTGTGTGTGTGTGTGTGTGTGCCCAGTTTGCTCAGTTTGTGTGAGTGTCAGGAGAGCAGATGCCCTGATGAGCTGCATGATGGATTGTTCATTTAGATAATACACACGCCATGACCGCCAATCACTGAGTGGGCCAGAATAACAGCCAGGCCACTGGAAAATTTCCATTTTCTCCCAATTACCAGTCCGCCACTGGCTGCTAGTGACCAACGCGCTCCACGCCCCTCTCCTTCTTCAGCTTGCTGTCAGTGCAGCTCGGTGTGCAGCTCAGATGTTCTGATGGGAATCTCTTCTTGATTGATTTATCTACCTCCAGGGGTCCCTGCCACCATTGCAGATGCATCTTTGGTCCATCATTTTGACACTTCACTTCAGGGGTATTCAATTCCCGGCCTGAAGGGCCGGTGTCCAGCACGTTTTAGGTTAACCCTGCATCATCCCACTGATTTCAATCAGCAGGTGAGTAACAGGCTTCTGCAGAACCTAATAAGATGCTGCACAGGTGATTCAAACACTGAAGCTACCCCCCCCCCCCCCCCCCCCCGCAACTTCATTTGTTTATTTGTTTTTGTTAGTTTTAAAACTGATTGAAACCAATAAACCTAATCTCAGATGCTCAGTAACTCACCTTACAGCTGTTACAGCACTCGCCGTCAGCACACTGTGAACCCATTGTCAGCGTGCACGTAGTGGCGTTGCAGCAAGGGTTCGTGCAATCCTGTGAAGAAAGCCAGCAGTCAGTTGAAAATAACATGCAATAGTTCCTCACATCGGTTATCGTGTGTTTGCCCACAATCCCTGTTTGTGAAATACTTCTGTTTCTGTGAATAATTATTCTTGTTACATTTGATTTTTCCATCCATCCATCCATCCATCCATCCATCCATCCATCCATCCATCCATCCATCCATCCATCCATCCATCCATCCATCCATCCATCCATCCATTTTCAGCCCCTTATCCAGAGTCGAAGTGGGGGCAGCAGCCTAAGCGGGGATGCCCAGACTTCCCTCTCCCCAGCTACTTGGGCCAGCTCTTCCGGGGAAATCCCAAGATGTTCCCTGGCCAGTCGAGAAACATAGTCCCTCCAGCATGTGCTGGGTCTTCCCTTAGGTCTCCTCCCAGTTGAACGTGCCCTGAAAACCTCACCAGGGAGGTGTCCAGGAGGCATACTGACCAGATGCCTGAGCCACCTCAACTGCTCCTCTAGATACGGAGGAGCAGCAGATCTACTCTGAGCCCCTCCCGGATGACCGAGCCTCTTACACTATCTCTAAGGGAGAGCCCAGCCACTCTGCAACTACCCAAATCTCGTGACCATAGGTGAGGGTAGGAACGTAGATCGACCAGTAAATTGAGAGCTTCACTTTCTGGCTCAGCTCTCTCTTCACCACAACAGACCGGTACAACACCCGCATCACTGCAGATGCAGCAGTCCTGTCTATAAAAGTTATGAACAGAATCGGTGACAAAGGTCAGCCTTGGTGGAGTCCAACTCTCACCGGAAATGAACTCGACTTACTGTCGGCAATGCGGAACAAGCTCTGACACCGGTCATACAGGGACCTAACACCCCATATCAGAGGGCCTGGTACCCCATACTCCCCGAGTACCCCCCACAGGGCCTGCCGGGGGATGCGGCAGGCCCTGTGGGGACACATGTAGACTGGTTGGGCAGATTCCCATGCACCCTCCAAGACCCCCCAAGGGCATAGGGCTGGTCCAGTGTTCCACGGCCAGGATGAAAACCACATTGTTCCTCCTGAGTCTGAGGTTTGACAATTCGTCTGACCCTCCTCTCCAGAACCCCCGAATAGACTTTACCAGGGAGGCTCAGAAGTGCAATCCCCTGTAGATGGAACTCATCCTGCAGTCCCCCATTTTAAATAGGGCAACCACCACCACAGTCTGCCAGTGCAGTGGGACTGCCCCCGATCTCCAGTCAGAGATGCAAGGGTTTCCTATTTCTCCAACCTGGTGTCCCAGAGCAAAGGGAACCCCAAGGTGCTGTTTAACACCATCAGTAGCATCGTCTCTCCTGACTCTCCTACAGCCTCCATCCACTCTGTTACAGACTGTGAGAACTTTCTGTCTTTCTTTGTGGACAAAGTCAATAAGGTTAGATCTAGCATCTCTCCTTCAGCCTTATCGCCGCCTCTCCCGACTCCAACCAGGCCCATCATCCTAGATAGCTTTGTTCCTGTTTCTTTGCCTGAGTTAACCAAACTAGTTAACTCTATGAAGACCTCTGCATGCCCCCTTGACATCTTACCCTCATCTTTGTTTAAAAGTGATTTTCAGTCCATTGGTCCCAGCGTGCTTTCTATAATTAATGCTTCTCTGGTTTCTGGTCAGGTCCCTGCTTACTTTAAGAAAGCTGTAATCCACCCGCTTCTTAAAAAACCGAGTCTCGACCCCTCTCTCCATAGCAGCTTCAGACCCATCTCTAAACTTCCGTTCATCTCCAAGATCTTGGAAAAGGTTGTGGCTAAACAACTCACAGCTGCTCTTGATGAACATAACATCTATGATAGCTTCCAGTCAGGTTTTCGTAGAGCTCATTCTACTGAAACAGCTCTTCTTAGGGTCTCTAATGACCTTCTGACTCACAGTGATGCAGGGGACTGTTCTGTTCTGGTCCTGCTGGACCTGACTGCAGCCTTTGACACTGTTGACCATCACCTGCTACTGGAGAGGCTGAGAGACTGGGTAGGCCTATCAGGAACTGCTCTGGAGTGGTTCTCCTCTTATCTTTCTGAGCGCTCCTTTTCTGTGGCCGTCACCAAGATTAGGTCCTCCACCACCTCTCTTACCCGTGGTGTCCCACAAGGTTCTGTGCTGGGGCCTCTGCTCTTCCTCCTCTATCTGCTTCCTCTTCAGCACATCCTGAGCTTCTTCAAAGGAATCTCCTACCATCTTTATGCAGATGACATCCAACTGTACATCTCCTTTAAGCCCCATGAGATGTCTAAGCAGCAGCTGTTACACACCTGCTTAGACTCTATCAAAACCTGGATGGCTGGGAGCTTTCTTCAGCTGAATGAAGATAAGACTGACATCCTCATCTGAACCCCAGACAAGCTGGTTCCCAAAATCAGAGACTCTCTTGGTCAGCTTGCTTCCCACACCAAACCTTCTGTCAGGAATCTTGGCGTGACCTTTGACCCAGCTCTCACCCTGGATTCTCATGTCAGTTCTCTTGTTCGCTCTTCCTTCTTCCATCTCAGGAACATTGCTAAGCTGAGTCCCATTCTGTCTCGCTCTGAACTTGAGACAGTTCTCCACACCTTCATCTCCTCACGCTTAGACTACTGTAATGCTCTTTTCACGTGTCTCAGCAGAACCTCCCTGAACCGTCTACAGGTGATTCAGAATGCCTGTGCTCGGCTTCTGACCAAGTCCTCCAAACACACCCACATCACCCCGCTTCTCCTCCAGCTTCACTGGCTGCCAGTCAACTTCAGGGTTCATTTCAAGATCATGGTTCTGGGCTATAGGGCCTTACATGGACAAGCAACATCTTACATTGGTGATCTTCTTAGTCCCTACACCCCCAGCAGGTCCCTGAGGTCCAGTGATCAAAGCCTACTGGTTGTGCAGCACCAGGCTAAAGACCAAAGGTGACAGATCATTTGCTGCTGTGGCCCCCAGACTCTGGAACTCTCTCTCCCTGAGCCTGAGATCAGTGGACTCAGTGGTCTCCTTTAAAAAGCAGCTGAAGACTCACCTGTTCAAGCTGGCTTTTGTATGACCTTCTTCAACCCCTCTCTCTTTATTCTGCTCTCCCCACCTATTCCACCTTCCTCATGATCCACTGATTTCCCTCTTTCCTGTTCACTCTCTCTTTCTTAACATTTTTTTAATCACATTTGTCTATTTTTGCTCATTTTAAATATATTTTTAAACATTTTCTAAATGCTTTTTTATATTTTTACATTTTTTGTTTTTGTGAAGCGCCTCGTGATTTTTATCTTAAGAGGCGCTATAGAAATTATATCTTCTTCTTCTTCTTCTTCTGTCAGCTGTTCACAACAGTTTTTCTGCCTTTCGATAATCAAGCACGTATCCTGAGAGGAATTTTCGATAGTGTCCAAGCTGAAGACTTTTGTTGTTGACTTCCAACTTTTGTCGCCCACATGTTGAGCGAGTTTGACAAACTGACAATTCCCCCACCCGAAAAGGACAGAATCAACCTGATTAGTAACATGCTCTTGAGAAATTCAGAGTTGACCTGTATGGAACTAACATCACTTCTGTAATGGACCGTTTCCTACGAGCTCACAAGCTCCAGTCAGTTCTTGGACCGAGTAGACCAAACCCTCTATCGCATCCTAAGGAACATCGTAAACCTGACCCTTACTGCTTCAAATGTTCTCAACCGGGGTTCACCACTCGTACATGCCCGAGCTGTAACAACCAATGTTATCTGACTAACGGAAATGTGGATGCCACGGGACTCGACCCTGTCCAGCCCTCACTAGCTCCTAGCCTCTCTGTCTCATACCAACACAGCACTGGTCATAACAACACTTCAGCCCAACCGCAGTTCAGGCAGTCGGGAAACTACCGAGGGGGGAGGACATTTCGCAGAGGTCAGCCTCCCCTCAACCATTAACGGAGCCTCACACACCACTTTCAATGCAAGGGGGATATATCCTTGGACACTTGAAAGACATCTTTTCAAAGGTCCACTGGAATACCTCTCTAAAAACTAAGGTCAACTTCAACGGTTCATCCGTGGATGGTACTCTTGACACAGGTGCTTCCCTCTCGGCTGTGAGAGCAGACATCTTTCAAACAAACAACTTCTACTTCTTTTACCTTGTGATGAACTTTTTATCTTGTTTTTAGAATTTTTAAGGAACTGCTGTTCGTTTTGTCTTGTTAAGCACTTTGGTCAGCTTTTATGCTGTTATAAAGTGCTATATAAATAAAGTTGACTTGACTTGACTTGACTTCTACCCACAAATCACAAGTGCATGGGAGGACCCTGAAGTTAACCTTGCGAATAATACTCCTTGCATCCCTGAGGGGGTCACATGGCTCAAAACTGGATTCATGAAGAAGAACTTTTACCAACGTTTTGCAATAATACCGGATTTGACTTCTCCTTTCGTTCTGTGAATGGATTTTATGACAAGACTTTCTGTTTCTGTTCACATCCCCACAAGAACAGTCCACATTGATGACATAACCTACCCTCTTGCAGAAGAGGAAGAGGACCCTCGACACGATTACTCACATCCGATTGTGATGTCGCTGGATTCAATTCGCTCAGACTTCTCAACTAAAGTGTTGGAAACAAGTCTCTCGGAGATCCATAAGGATGCCTTACTCAATCTACTCTCCAAGTTTGACTCCATAGTCAGTGGTTGTCTTGGCCGGACTAATCTCACTGAACATGTCATAGAGACTGGCAACGCGACACCAGTCAATCTCCCACCCTATCGTACATCGCCCGCCAAGAAACGTGATCGAGGGACAGGTGCAGCAAATGTTATTGGATGGTATCATTGAACCTTCTACGAGCCCTTGGGCTGCTCCAGTAGTCATTGTCAACCGGGGAGCTGCAGACCCAAGGTTTTGCATGGACGTCAGAGGCCTCAACCAAGTGACTCGAAAGGACTATTATCCTTTGCCTCATGTGGATGACTCTTTAGACTTTCTGGCAAGAGGAAAGTTTGTCTCAACACTGTACTTAACACGAGGCTATTGGCAAGTTGCTGTAGCAGAGGATTCCAGGCCTAAAACTGCCTTTACCTCTCACTGCAGTCTCTTTCAGTTTCGAGTGCTACCTTTTGGGCTCTGCAATGCTCCGGCGATTTTTCAAAGACTCATGAACTCAGTGCTTGCTGGCCTCATTTACAAAACATGTGTAGTCTACATGGATGACATTGTCATTGCCTCACCTACATTTGAACAACACTTGGTGGATCCTGAGGAAGTGCTAAACCGCCTCCAGGCGGCTTGCTTGTCACTGAAACTCAAAAAGTGCCAGTTCTGCCTTGATGAATTCACCTTCCTTGGGTACCGCATCACATCATCAGGTGTTAAACCAGATCAAGACAAAGTTAAGGCTGTCACTGAGTTTGAGGTCCCACCTCAGTGAAGCAGGTCCGTCAGTTTCTCTGCGTGATGAGTTACTATCGGCGCTTCATTCAGGATTACGCCCATCACGCCGAACCTCTTTATACTATCAAAAGAAAGGACAACCCCTTCCATAGGGACGACAGCTGCCAAAGAGCAATGGACACCTTGAAAACCAGTGACACATCTACCCCTGTCCTGTCATTTCCAGACTTCAACCGTCACGTTTACCTCCACACCTATGCGTGTGATGTTGGCCTCTGTGCAGCTTTAATGCAAATAGATGACGAAGGCTGTGAACATGTTGTGGCCTTCGCTAGTTGCTCTCTTCACAAAGCTGAACTCCCCTACTCCACCTCTGAAAAGGAATGCCTTGCCATATGGGCCCTGGAACACTTTCGACCCTATGTTGAAGGCTCTGCAATGCTGCTGCTTTGGGCCCTGGCAGGATGGGCTGGGGTCTCCATGCACTGGGTGGCATTTTGACAACAGAGGTACCTATTGGAGCCAGTGGGGGAGCTGGCTCCCTGGAGGGCTAAGCCCAACCAGCCATTCCTCCACATCCCTGCATATTTTTCTCCTCCTGCTCCCTCACATCATCACACAAACATGCACATAGGACCTTGGGGGTGGACAAGTCAGGGAGTGTGGGTATGGACCCCATTTCTGCATTCCTGTGGCAACATGCCCCCCAATTTTATTTGCACCTTATACACTTCCACCGACGACATTCCACGCAAACACACACTTAGGGCCTTAGGAGTGAGCACATTCAACGGCTCTTGGCAGGGGGATTTCTTTTTTTTACTTTTTTTACCGTGTCCTGTCTTACTGTGAAGCAAGCAGAATTGATGTCTGAATGCTGGTAACAAGCCCTACAGATTTACTCTCAGGTGGAGCATCAAAGCGTCTGCTTTTAATGTCACGTCTGATACTTAAAACTTTATTGTTATTGGTTTTTGAATGCTTTGTAATTCGAACCAGACACGGAGACAGAGGTGAAAGAGAAAGGAAAAGAAAAGGTGGGGAGAGAGAGAGAGCGGGGGGGGGGGGGGGGGGTTGGGGGGGGGTTCCACAAAAATAAACAATAATGAACAAGAGTCTGCTTCTAGACCTGCAGAGAAAGACAAAAAAAAGCAAAAGGGCAAAAAAGATGGGACACAACAACAATACAACAAGATCTAGCTATCACTGCGTCAACTGACAATAATAATATAAGTGGGGAAACAGAACAGAGAAGGGGAGGTAAACCTAAAATACCAAATTTAAACCTAGACACTGAGGGAAGGACTCACACACACACCATCACACACAAATGCACTAATATAAACAGGACAAGCATACACACACACACACATACACACACACACACACGCACGCACGCACGCACACACACACACACACACACACACACACACAGAGCAGGGGACTGAGAGGCTGGGGGCTACAAGGACACAGAAAATGAAGACCTGGAGGGGCTGGGGAGGAATGAGATGACACGGGACCTGGGAGGAATAATTGTACCGGTTACCACATAAGACACAAGACTGAGACGAAGACAAGGACACATGAGGGTGCTATGAGACACAAAAGGGAATCTAGAGAGGGATGGAGGACACCAGGAGGCACAAAAAGGAGGGGGCAGACGCAGACCATGACAATCACCCACAACTCTACAGTCAACACAAGGCAAGTTAATGTTGGCGTTTTAGCTAAAATGTGTGATCCGAGGATTTGGGTTGAGGGAGAATGCAGCGAGTCGCTATATAAAGCAGCCGCAGCGCAGCTACCTGCATATAAACCGTGTCGCGGACACCCCCATATTGAAATGACGCTATGCATTACGGGGCTCCCAGGGGCAGATAAGAGTTGGTCTCTCTCCGAGAATAATGATGAATTTAACAGTGATTACTGCCTGATGACATTTTCCTCACATCTGCAAAGCTCACTGGAAGGACACAAACCGAGGACAATATTTTCCTGATATAGGGTTTATTACTCAAGTAAGGGTAAAAAAGTATCTGATTAGAAGGCTACTTGAGTACTGAGTATCATCTGATCTAATATTTTTTAAATGATGACATCAAACAGACAAAATAAGAAGTTATGGGCAAATATTGCTACTTTAAAGACTAAAGGGGAAAAATGTAAACAAATAAACAACATAATTACAAAATAACAAATTTTAGGCAAAATTTAGACACTACCTGAGGACAATATTTTCCTGATATACAGGGTTTATTTGGTTATCTATAAATGTAACACGTTTAAAAAAAATACCGCGATAATACTGAAAACTGTGATAATTTTGGTCACAATAACCGTGAGGTTACATTTTCACACCGTGACAACCCTAATCGCGATAAAGAGGAGACGATACAACGTATCATGATATATAGTGATACATTCAGTCAGATGTTATTAACAATTTTTTAACTGAATTTGTTGTAGGAATATTCAATAAACAGTCCAAACTGATACTTAACATGTTTACATTAGGTATTTGAATCATAACAGAGGGATTTTCATTTCAATGGTGGAAACAAACCCCGTTGCACACTGCTGCCAACTGGCAGTTGATGTCTGAGTTGCACCAAAAGAAAAGAAGATACACAAATATTTGCATGTAAATTCTTCCCAATATTGGATACACAGATTTTGAATATCGATATAATATCACAGGAAGAAAAATGACATATTGTCATCAATATTTTCTTACATCCCTAGGGAAGAATGCTGCCATTGAGTTTTACTAGCTTTGGACAAACGGAACACAAGAGTGGAGAAAACACATCTAAACATGATCTAGTCTGAAACGTTTGTGCCGTTAAACCTGCACATGACTGCTGCAGCACAACCAGACTTGCTGATGCTATCTGATTATTGCTAAACAAACCAATCTCTTTGTTTCACTTAACAGAAATGCTGCAGCATGCCAGGAACCACACGTCTTTGGCACAAAAGTCAGTTTAGGACAAAGAAGTAGGAGATTTTAGTTACAGATAGTAGTTGCTCTGAGGCAAAATGTGCCTAGACTTAAAAATGCTTCAGCACTGTTTCAGTGTTATGAAAGAATCAAATCTGCCCTGCTAGTGTTACACCACCAGCAGTCAGCTTCACAACTTTACAGGCAACCAAACTTCTACAAGAGCAAAACTTGTATGAAACCAGGTTTCTGGTTGCAGAGGTGGGTTGTGTTCGGTGACGTTGGGATTCAGAGGTACCCTGGGCCCTTGTGGCTTTATTCATTGATGCTGATGTGCACTGCTGCCTCTGAGCATGAAGGTCACATATAACCAACCTTTTAGGATGTTTATTGTCCTCTCATTGTCACCTGATGCCTTCCTGGGTCAACGAGGATGAGACAGCAGCTTATAGTGCTGTGCTGCATTCAGTTACAATCAGACTTTTGAGTTTCACTTTGAAAATGTCATCTCACATTTGATGTAATTGCTTATTTACTATGATACAGGTATTTTATCGTATCAGCTTTGCCCCCCCCCCCCCCCCCCCCCCCCCGCGTGCGCCGCCCCTGCCTGTTTTCCATCTCCAACATGCCCTCACACGGGGGTCAGAGTTGACATACTCATGTTGAGACCCTGTCTTGTGCATAAGCAAGTGTTATAAAGGAGGCCCAGGTTTGCTGGAGCAGAGAAACCTCTACAACATGCAATCAGTGGCCTGGAGGACCAGACTGGTCCATCATGAACACACTTGTTACCTCCACAGTGCCGCAGTCACATTGCTCTCCTTTCTCCAAAAATCCATTTCCGCAGGTCGGAGGAGCCACCAGGGTGTTGTAGTCAGGTTTGTCCAGCAAGCAGCCGGGGCTGCGGCCAGTTAGGAAGCTTGCATAGTTGCTGCTGCTGCAGCTGCTGAAGGTGCGTGGGATGTTCGAGCTGAGCAGGGATAAAGAACATCATTATCTGTAGAGAGGCAGCCTCGAAGCTGCAAGGATGTTTGTTCTGTGCTTACAGCTGTTATTCTTTTCAGTGTTTCGTTTAGCTTTTTCTTCCACATTCCACCACCAGGTTCACCCATATGGAGGTCTAACCTCATGAATCTGTTGTGCTGTAAAACTATTCATCTTTCAGTTGTAAGGTCAAGCTGTGGAAGTAACAGGACATCCCTCGCTCCAGGGACAGGCTCCAGCTCCTTCTGGTGGATCTCAAGGTGTTCCCAATCCAATGAGGATTTCTAACTCTTCCAGCAGGTTCTAGCTCTCCCCAAGGTTCTCTGTCCAGGAGGACAAGGTTGGAAAACCTCCACAGGGAGGCAAGCAGGGGAGATCATGGCTGAAGTACCTCAGATGGAGGAGCTGAGACTAATCCAGCCTTCCCGAGGATGATGGAGCCCCTAATCTTGTCTAAGGAGAAGGCTCCTTTCAGCCTCTGGTATCTCACCAGTAAATCAAACTAACCTGTACAGATGAAATATTTCTATAAAACAGGTGTCCTGCTGAAGAAGCATGGCCTCAGATTCAGAAGAACTGACTCATCCCTGCTACCTCACTGAAACATCTAGTTTGCTTTTGTTCATTTGTCAGATTTGTCAGCAACTCTAGAGCAGGTGAGACTCGTGGTGACACGTTTTAGACCTATGTGTGTACACTGGTGGTTCCTGGATAGAGAAGCTAAATTAGCTGGTGAACAGAGTTTTACTGCAGTGATGAGGATCAGCTGACTCTTACACTAAATTTAGCTTTATCTCTCTTACTCACACACACACACACACACACACACACACACACACACACACACACACACACACACACACACGCACGCACGCACACACACACACACACACAGCAGTCCCTGACCGTCTCCGTGTCTGACCTACTTAACTTGGACAGACTTGCCCTCTGAGACGTGGGGACAGCTTTTCGTACCTGAGGGCTGCAGCCATGATGCAGCTGTCTGCAGAACAAACACACCCGCTGGAGTCATCATGGTTCATCCCCAGATTGTGGCCCATCTCGTGGGCCAGAGTCGCTCCCACTGCAATAGCACGGTCATTGTGATCCTACAGGACAAATTCATGGGGATTTAACCTTCAGGTGAGGATTTCTGGATTTAATCAGCACTCTGAGTCAGTTGGATGTCTGACATGATGAAATAATGTTCTGCTTCATAACACCATCATATGAAGCCAAACCTCCAGAAGAAGTTGAAACATACAGTCAGAGGGTTTGATTTAGAACAACAGATTGTGTCCTCTATAAGGTTTTGCTGAACGACCATAGGCCCGGCTCACCTGTACCACACCGACTGAGCTGTCAGAGCAGAGAGTCCCAATGTAAGCAAGACCAACCGTTGGTCCTTCAAAGTCAATTCCACTGAAAAACAAGATGTCATTTATTGCATTTGGATTTTTTGGACAATTCTTTGAAAACCCTCTAGCCCAGGGGTGCCCAATCCTAGTCCCAGAGGGCCAATATGCAGGAGACTTTGTGGTTTCTCTGCTCCAACACACTTGATTCGGAGGTTTTCTTCTTGGCACTCGAGGAGTACAGACGCTTCTCTCTTTCGCTCCCTTATCTTATTTCCCTAAGGCTCTTTGTCCTGTCTGCCCACAGAGCGCTTCTCTGCATTTCTTCTGAAAAACTATTTTTACTAACCATGGATTTGATAAACTGGTCATTCAATGCAATTGATAAGATTTTTTCAACAATGAGAATGGAGCAGGGGGCTCCCTCATGTCCACAGGGGACACACCCGGTGGGATATATGCTGGATTCCTGGAAGGAATGGAAGATCATATGCCTCAGCCAGCTGTCCATTGAGGATATCGAAGACGTGTGGATATTCGGCCTGATGATCACTGGATTTCTCCTGATTGGAGTGGGAGGGTATCTGGTTTTCTGGAAATTTGGGAAGACGGGAGCGATTGGAGGGCGACCCGCACCCACAGAAAGCACCGTCCGTGTGGAGACTTTTCAGGCTGGGACGTTACTCGAGGTGAACCGTAAGCTGGACAATGTTCTAGCTGCGATACCGGTATTAGTGCGCAAAATGGATGTCATCTCAGAGAGAGTCACCGGACGGTATGGATAAGTTTAAAAACCCAAAATTGGCTTCACTGAAGGACTGGAATGATCAGTTTAAAGACTGAAGGCAGAGAGAAAAATTATCTCAGCCTAATCCAAACAAATTCTTGTTATCTGAATCTGACGCCCTGGTAGCCTTGAGCGGCAAGTAACAAACCCCCACTAAGGAATGCTGACAGATGCTGTGAAAACCCGACCTGCACCCCCCCTTCGGATTGGTGGACTTCAGCCTGGCGAGGTCATCAACCTGCAGGAGTCAATGTGCTCTGCGCTTCTCCCAAGATCTCCCTCCCACCTGTGACTGTACAGTAGATGAGCGCCGTAGATGGCTGCTCTCGCTGGGGGAAGCAGGATCCCAGCCCCCCCCCCCCCCTTCCTACTGGAGTCTCATGTTATGTTGTGTTGTCTGAAGTCTGTTGCATATTTGTTGAGGTGTTTTTTTGCAGAGCAAAGCTGCCCTCCTGGTGGAGGGTAACTCTGAAATGCCTTTTTTCCCTCCACCTGAACCAATCCTCATGTAACCCTCCTATCTCTATTAAGGTAGCGCGACTCGGGTTGCAAATGACCACAGTCACCAATTCTTGTCATGTGTCTTGCCCATGTATGTCTGATCTCTGAATTGTGTGTACTGAAACTCTAATTCCCCTCTGGGATTAATAAAGTATTGATTGATTGAATCACCTGTGCAGCAGCTTATGAAGCTCTGCTGAGGCTTGCTAATCACCTGCTGATTGAAATCAGGTGTGCTGAAGCAGAGTTCAAACTAAAACCTGCTGGATACTGGCCCTCCAGGACCAGGATTGGGCAACCCTGCTCTAGCCTAACCCAAACTACTGGTCAGCTATGGTTTTTTGAGTCCGTGTTGTACCTGATGAGGTGGGCATTGTCGTGTTTTTGTCTTTTTATCAGGTCAGAATTCCTCCAGGACTTAAAGGCATCCAGGTTAGCTCCTGCTGGGGGGGTCACTGTGATTAGATCACTGTTTGACCAGACCTCCAGACCCACCAGAGCGATAAAAGTCCTCAGGGGCTTGTATGCCTACAGGAGATCAGCAGAAAGACTGAGTTCTTCAGGAAAAACAGGAAACGAAACAATCGCACACATCCTCCTTATGAAAGTACAGCTCTGACTCACCGTGTTGACAAAATTGACTATTTCAAATATCCTCTTTCTAAGTGCTGTCAGGTCTTTGTTCATCTTCAGGTACTGAAATGACATTTCATCAAAGCAAAGTCACTTCCTGTTTCACAGCAACAGCTTCTCACCTAAACAATCGTCTTCTACCTTGAATAAAGTAAATAGAACAAACTTTATTGATCTCACAGAGGGGAAATTCACTTGCTACAGCAGCACACGTAGAGAAAAAGGCAGAAGAAAATAATAACAAGCTTATAGGTAAACACACAGACAATAAGCTAATATCGTGACCTTCATCCACCAAAAACAACAAATAAAAGGACGTTGTGTTTCCAGAACGAAGCAGCATGAAGGACACCAACACACTGATTCACACCAGGTACTGCACAAGTGTTGAACACATGCTGAATACTGCATTAGACAGCAGAGGTCTGAGAGCTGAACAGATTCTGAATCATAGTTCAGATATTTTGTCTCAACAAATAAAACCAGCTGAGTGGTCAGTATGAGTTCAAAGGTAGTGCAGGTGGAGACGATCACCATGAGAGGTTCCTGTTGGAAATCTTACCTCACGATTATCAGCAACAAGAATGAGCTCATTGTATTTCGGTTGTTGAACAATAGAAAGAACCTGAAAAATCAAATGAGAACATGTTTGAAAACGCATTTTGGATAAATAAAATGTAATTTTCATTGAATGTTTTCTGTGATTAAACCCTGAGATATCTCAGCTGTCGTGCAGTGCTGAGAAACGTGATTGATCATCTTACACACTAGGATGTGAAAGCTATTTCTCTAAAGACACGCTGTTCAGATGTCTTTCTACAGCAGGTAAGATGGAATGGGTTTGATGAGGTCACGGTTAGTTGATAATCATTAATAACCCTAACCGCTGATCTGGAACGGCTGTGGCTTGTTGGAGGTTCGTACTCTTCGTTCCAGCTGGTGTTGGTCACGCCACACACTGCAGGGGTGAAACTGGCCCCGTCAAACGTTGTCACCGCATGATACCCCTGATCATCACCAGACAGGGGCTCGATCAGGTACCTCTGAGCAGATGTTCTGAAGTAGCCCCTAAACCAAGATCACACAAACAGTCAGACAGCTAGAGCTACAACTCAGCGGTAATGCATTTAAATGTGGAAAATATGTCTGTAAACACACTCATCTAGAAAATGAAAGGACCAGGTTTCCATCTGCTCATCCAAACTACTGAGGTGAGCTGCTGCAGTGACACTTCAGTGAGCTGGACCAGCCCTGCAGCAGTCTGAGTGACTTTGAATTAAAACTTTTACAGATCTTTGTTCCTGACACATGGACCATAGAAGTATGGAGATCCAGCAGGATTTTCTATCATAACCTAAATCTGTTTTTAAAGCCACAGACTGTAATCTTTTTAGTTGTCCCTGCAGTTAGGATATTCATAAATGATTTGATAAGCATGTGTTGTTAGCTTAAAATTTTACATTTTATATACATAAACTGTGGTCGACCCTCCAAAGTATAGCACCATCTTGAAATACTGCAGCTGTTTAGGGACATACAGGATATCATGCTCTGTGTTTTGCATTTGCGCTTTGACATTAAATTTCTTCTTCCTCTAAAGGTGTGGGGGTGGGTCCGGTTCACTCCCTGGCAGCCTTGCTGCTTGGCAAATTTCTGCTCCTTCTCCGAGTGTTGCTTGCCCTGTTCTAACATATGATCGCTCATGGCTGCGGGGGAAAGGGAGACGGGATCAGCGAAAGACGTGTTAGATGCAGCAGCAGTGTTCGTTGGAAAAAACTCCAGCCCTTGAAAAAATTTTGTTTCAGACCCCTGGTGCGTCTTTACGATTTCAGTGTTCCAGTTGAAACCATCAGTATTTGTCATTTACAGCTAAAGCGAGCTACGGCTACCTAAAAAAATGTTTCCAGCCAACAGGAAGCATGCTTTAGGTAGCCGGAGCTACGGGTAAGAGCAGAGGAAGCGTTACAACTACCCTGAGAGAAAGCAAGCAAAATATTTCTGTGCAATAACGCAGAACAGAAAGTTTAGAGCTGGTTTTTCTTTCGTTTTTGTGACCTTGAACATGAACCTGTTAACTATCCGTAAATAGAAAGGTGAAACCATCTTCCACTGATACTTTATTATGAATGTCCTTATAAACAACAAAACCCTTTAGTATTTGGATTGTTTTGTCTGAATAATGAGGGAAAAGCTTTTCAGAAGCAGGTTTTCAGTTTTTACTGGTAAACTCTCCGTCACACGCTGTTCAGACTGTGTTGCTGATGTAGTAACACCACGTGTGAATGTTGTCAGATGGTCTATGATTAGTATGTGAAGTAACTGCTTCTGAGATTATTCACCCCCTTCACCAGAAGTACCACACGGACAGCACATCATCTTATCTGTGCACAATGGAACGACCTCTCTCACAGCGACTCGTTACCAGGGAGGTGAAAGTAGCTAACTTTTAAGCTAGCCTCTTTAAGTTTAGCTTTTTCTGAGGAAACCAGTGAACTTTTTTTGTTGCAAAAACGTCATTTCCTTAAAGAATGATTAAGTATCAAGTGCCACGTCGAATAAATCAAAGACAAGGAGGAAGAGAGGAGATTAAGGTTAAAATGTTGAGATAAAAACCAACTATCCAGGAAAAACAAACTTATTTAACCTGTTTTCATAAATCCTCTAACTGAGGGTGCTTCATGTGTTTTTAAACCATTAAAGGATACCTTAGTAAAATAATCTGGCTACTTTTGGATAAATCCTTCACAATAAAAGCATCTCTTATTCAGTATAAAGAACTATAATGTACTTAAAAAAATTCCCCTGGAAAAAAAATAAATTCATAACATTTCAAGTGTAGTGTCAATATGTCCTCCTTAATTCCTTTACAATGCTCAAATACCCTGTAATTCTAAAATGTTAAATTCAGTTATTTTGTCTTTTTATCAGAAGGCCTTTTGTTTGTTGCCCTGCCATGTTTTCTGTGAGAGTGCATGAATAATGGAATACGCTTTAAGCCTTGAACATTTCTTATCTTTTAAATTATTAATATTGTTGTTGTAGGTGGATTTAGTTTTCTTTATTCAGTTGGAAGATACAGGATAATTTAGTGAGAGAATACATAAATGGAAACATCATAAAAATGACTTATGAGATAGTATTTAAAACACCAGCACCAGGACCAAGGACAAAAAAAGATATAAAAGCCAATCCTGGAGTCTCACCTGAGTCCGTCACAAGTGCTGATGCTGACAGATGATTCACTATCATTAACAATCTTCCCGTGATAGTAGCAGTGATCCTGGAGAAGAGATCAGACCAATGTAACGTGTCTCTGGTTTGTTTTTCTGAACATTTATTTTTGAGGAATGTGTACATGTTCGTGTGATTTGTTCTTTGAAGCGTTTCTGAAAAAATGTGTTAGTTAAAAAATAATAATAAAGAATTAAAAAATAAAAAAGTTTCCTATTAAAGGAGGGAAATGAAATCAAATCTTGATGAGTCAAATGATGCAGAAGCAGAAGTGAAAAACACTAGCAAACACGTACAATGTCATTTGGCGTGGTAGTGACTCGCGTTCCATCCTCCTGGTAGTAGGTCTCCGTGTAGTCTTTGGTGAACAACTCACTGTAGGAAAGTGAACAGCACATATTAATCTGGTAAAAACCAAATCAAACAAATCAGATATTTTACTGTAAAATGAACTTGAAAAACCAAAACAAAAAGCAGAAGGAAAAGTGGAAATGCATAGATGAAAAACGCAAAGTTGGTAGTGAACACACTGGTCATAATTATGGTTCACTCATGACTTGTTTAGATCATGTAACATCATGTTTAGATCATGTAACATCATGTTTGATCATGTAACATCATGTTCACATCAGGCAGCATCATGTTTAGTTCATGTAACTTCACATTTAGATCATGTAACATCATGTTTAGATCATGTAACATCATGTTTAGTTAATGTAACATCATGTTTATTTCATGTAACATCATGTTTATTTCATGTAACACCATGTTTAGTTCATGTAGCATTATGTTTAGATCATGTAACATCATGTGTAGTTCATGTAACATCATGTTTAGTTCATGTAACATCATGTTTAGTTCATGTAACATCATGTTTAGGTCATGTAACGTAATGCCTAACTCATAATGCATCATGTTTAGATCATGTAACATCATGTTTACATCATGTAACATCATGTTTAGTACATGGAACATCATGGTTAACTCATGTAACATCATGTTTAGTTCATGTAACATCATGTTTAGTTCATGTAGCATCATGTTTAGTTCATGTAGCATCATGTTTAGTTAATTTAACATCATGTTTAGATGATGTAACATCATGTTTAGTTAATGTAACATCATGTTTAGTTCATGTAACATCATGTTCAGTTCATGTAACATCATGTTTGGATCATGTAACGTAATGCTTAACTCATGTGACATCATGTGTAGTTCATGTAACATCATGTTTAGTTCATGTAACATCATGTTTAGTTCATGTAACATCATGTTTAGGTCATGTAACGTAATGCCTAACTCATAATGCATCATGTTTAGATCATGTAACATCATGTTTACATCATGTAACATCATGTTTAGTACATGGAACATCATGGTTAACTCATGTAACATCATGTTTAGTTCATGTAACATCATGTTTAGTTCATGTAGCATCATGTTTAGTTCATGTATCATCATGTTTAGTTAATTTAACATCATGTTTAGATGATGTAACATCATGTTTAGTTAATGTAACATCATGTTTAGTTCATGTAACATCATGTTCAGTTCATGTAACATCATGTTTGGATCATGTAACGTAATGCTTAACTCATGTGACATCATGTTTAGATCATGCAACATCATGTTTTGTTCATGTAACAGCATATTTAATTCATGTAACATCATGTTTAGATCATGTAACATGCTTAGTTCATGTAACATCATGTTTAGTTTATTTACCATCATGTCTAGTTCGTGTATCATCATGTTTAGTTCATGAATCATCATGTTTGGTTCATTTAACATGTTTAAATCATGTAACATCATGTTTAGTTCATGTAACATCATGTTTAGTTCATGTAGCATCATGTTTAGTTCATGTAACATCATGTTTAGGTCATGTAACGTAATGCCTAACTCATAATGCATCATGTTTAGATCATGTAACATCATGTTTACATCATGTAACATCATGTTTAGTACATGGAACATCATGGTTAACTCATGTAACATCATGTTTAGTTCATGTAACATCATGTTTAGTTCATGTAGCATCATGTTTAGTTCATGTAGCATCATGTTTAGTTAATTTAACATCATGTTTAGATGATGTAACATCATGTTTAGTTAATGTAACATCATGTTTAGTTCATGTAACATCATGTTCAGTTCATGTAACATCATGTTTGGATCATGTAACGTAATGCTTAACTCATGTGACATCATGTTTAGATCATGCAACATCATGTTTTGTTCATGTAACAGCATATTTAATTCATGTAACATCATGTTTAGATCATGTAACATGCTTAGTTCATGTAACATCATGTTTAGTTTATTTACCATCATGTCTAGTTCGTGTATCATCATGTTTAGTTCATGAATCATCATGTTTGGTTCATTTAACATGTTTAAATCATGTAACATCATGTTTAGTTCATGTAACATCATGTTTAGTTCATGTAGCATCATGTTTAGTTCATTTAACATCATGTTTAGATGATGTAACATCATGTTCAGTTAATGTAACATCCTGTTTAGTTCATGTAACAACATGTTTACATTATGTAACATCATGTTTACATCAGGCAGCATCATGTTTAGTTCATGTAGCATCATGTTTAGTTCATGTAGCATCATGTTTAGTTCATTTAACATCATGTTTAGATCATGTAACATCATGTTTAGTTAATGTAACATCATGTTTAGTTCATGTAACATCATGTTCAGTTCATGTAACATCATGTTTGGATCATGTAACGTAATGCTTAACTCATATGACATCGTGTTTAGATCATGCAACATCATGTTTTGTTCATGTAACAGCATATTTAATTCATGTAACATCATGTTTAGATCATGTAACATGCTTAGTTCATGTAACATCATGTTTAGTTTATTTACCATCATGTTTAGTTCATGTATCATCATGTTTAGTTCATGTATCATCATGTTTGGTTCATTTAACATGTTTAAATCATGTAACATCATGTTTAGTTCATTCAACATCATGTTTAGTTCATTCAACATCATGTTTAGTTCATGTAGCATCATGTGTAGATCATGTAACATCAAGTTTAGATCATTGCACCATCATGTTTATCATGTAACATCATGTTTAGATCATTTAACGTCATGTTTAGGTCATGTAACATCATATTTACATTAGGTAACATCATGTGTAGATCAGATAACATCATGTTTAGATCATATGACATCTTGTTTAGATCATGTAACATCATGTTTAAATCATGTAACATCATGTATAGATCATGTAGCATCATATTTAGATCATGTAACATCATGTTTAGATCATGTAACATCATGTTTAGTTCATGTAACATCATGTTTAGTTCAAGTAACATCATGTTTACATTAGGTAACATCGTGTAGATCAGATAACATCATGTTTAGATCACGTGACAGCTTGTTTAGATCATGTAACATCATGTTTAGATCATGTAACATCATGTTTAGATCATGTAACATTATGTTTAGATCATGTAAGATCATGTTTGGTTCATGTAACATCATGTTTACATCATGTAACATCATGTGTACATCCGGTAGCATGATGTTTAGATTATGTGACATCATGTGTCTGTCAGGAAACATAATGTTTAGATCATGTAACATTATGTTTAGATCAGGTAACATCATGTTTAGATCATGTCCATGAGAACTTACTTATTTTTTTCAAGTTGCATTTCAATGTTGTGTCCTCCCATTGTCATCGTGTACGTAACTGTGTCTGGTCTAGCATGCTGTTGGGGGATATAAGCACAGAAAGGGCATGAGTTCAGTATTATATATATGTCTCATGTCTAACCTCATACCATGACTTATTTATCATTTTTAGGAATCACAACACATCTAGGGGACACAATGTCACGATCCTGGGGCATTTTCTGCTGTGGAACATTTTCTCTTCTCCTTCGTCTGCAGCAGTGGGCAAGATGTGTCTCCTGTGAGCAGACACACCCGATGCTCATCAGCTGTCTGATATTTAAGATCCAGAATTTTTTTGCTTCTGTTCTGTTGTCAGTTGTGGTTGTAGTCATCATGCCCAGTGGTTCTTTAGTCTGTAGACTGATTTGTTTTCCTTTCACCAGTCACTAGTCACATGTTCTCTGTTCATACACTGAGTCAGAAAACACGACATAAATCATTTTCATTATAATTTACATAATAAGTTACCTCAGCATTTCTTTTCCTCACTGTGTGAAGTCTCACAGGTCGGACCACCTCATAGTCCTGCATTTCCTCAAATGCCAGACTGTGACTTTCTGTGGACACACATCATATTGGATATTAGTAGCAGTATTTCTTCCTGCGAAATGTTGAGCATAACCTCTTGTTACTATCAATAAACAAATCACGGATTTAACTAATATCATCTGAGCTTCCCTACAGTGGTTCGTGCCTGTGGAAACAGCATTTTTCCATCCTGCTGCTTTTAGAGAGAAGTTCCACGTTGTATGGAGAGATCAGGATTGTTTCAGCTGTTATGATCAAGGCCCTTCTAGCAGTTCCGCATAGAAACAAGAAGAGTTTCTATTGATCATCATTTTAAACAGGATTTAGTGTCATTTTCTGTGATTCAATTAAACTTGACTGCGTGATTCTATTCTGTCCTACAAAGCCTGATATGTTTCTATTTGTATTTATTTATTATCTTTACATTAGTAGATGTCATTCAGTTTAATGTATGAAATACAGATTAAATAGGCTGAAGCAAACAAAATTTATTAATTTTTTAAAATAAAATTAATAACTATACCTTTCTGAAGTTTATCTGTTTTATTGTTTAGTGAAGATACCAGCTGACAAATCTGCTAATGTCTGTGCAGCTGCAACTGTAGGTGCGACGTTTGCAAATGTTACACCAATGAAATAATCTAGGAGTTTAAAAACACATCAGGTGTGTCACATCACTTCTTTAACTTTTCATGATGTAATTACTGTAGGTTATTTCATCATGGCTCCTATTATTATATAAGAGAACAACAAAGACTTTAGATAATCTCAAGTGCCTTAATTACACACAAACCACATAATGTTGAAATCCACACCCTTTAGGTTCTGCTCAAACAGAGAGGAGTCAGATGAACAAATGTCCTCCAACCTACAGCGGACAAGTGGGAAAACAACTGTGATAAAAAAAATTTAAAAAAACATGTGATTACGTTTCTGGTCTCCCAGCAAACAGAAGCAGGTTTGGGCCTGGTCCAATGCACCCTCTTCCCTTGCTATACACTCTACTCCCAAAGTCAACATCAAGCCCTTGTAAACAGTGTGGCAGAACACCCCCACATACCACTGTGTTAAGCTGTGACCTATGGATTACACAATACAGTAGAGTAAGTTACACAGACTTCCACTGACCCACAAACAGATTACAATTAAAATTATCTTGTATGTTTGACCCAAGTTGTCTCCATGTTTGTCTTTTATTTGAGCTAATGCTAACAGAGCTAGGGGCAAAAAGACTGGTAACAGCAAGGAAGAAGAAAGCGTTGTGTGTGTGCATGTGTGTTCATGTGTGTGTGTGTGTGTGTGTGTGTGTGTGTTTGTTTGTTAGCGGCTTATTTCTCTAACATAATGTCTCCGAGATGGGGGTGGGGGTGCTGTCCCGCACTGCCACAGCGCCGCCAGGCAATCCCTCCTTTAGGTTACAGGAAGTAAGACTCATATGTGGAGGTGACTTGCACTTAATCTCTCTAGCCTAGCCCACATAACGTATTTAACTACTATGATCAACCAGTTCAGTGAACTTTTAAAATAATGACTGAAGGAGGCAAACAAGTCCTGTCGGGCCGCTTGAGGACCGTAGTAGTTGGCGATTCACACGCAGAGGAGAGCTGGCGTAGATCTCGTAGAGCAGCGGTGAAGATGGAGCAGACAACACTGGATGTCATTTAGCCACTGGCTAACGGAGAAAGGCTGGGACCTGATGGGAGTGCGACAGAGGGTTGCGAGTGTCATGATCTGGGGAATACGTCTAAACCAAGACATGCAGAATCACAACAACTCACGGATTGATGGTAAAAAATAATATTTATTTAATAATGGGAACTGAAGGAGCACTGGTAAGTCCAATGGGGATCGAGAAACGGGAGTGCAGCGTCTGAGGAGGGGAGAGCAGATACAGGCGAGTCCAGGGAGGTAAGTCTTAACTTGGTTGGTGCAGAGAAGAGACTTACTGGGAGATGGGGAAGTACCAGGACAAGGGAGGGCAGGTTGAGAGCAGGGTGTATGCAAGAGTCCAAGAGTCCTGGAGAGGGAGCGTTAGGAGGGCAGGTGAGTGGGTCGGTAAGGAGGAATGGAGAACGGTTGAGAGCTGCGCCCAGAAGTCCTATGAAGCACGGGTGAGTAATCCTGAGGAGTCGCTGACTCAGAGATGTTCCAAAAACCTGGAGACGGGTAATCACAAAATCCAAAGTTCACAATAATCCAAGAAGCTCGAGAGAACAAAACCAAGTATCACTAGGAGGCTAGAAACTACCAAGCTGTAGTAATCATCTGGCGTCGAGGTGTGTTCTCCTTCCTCCTTATGTAGCTGGACCCGCTGATTGCCAACGAGATGCAGCTGGGAACCTCCCTCTCCTGCAACACACAGCTGGAAAATTGAGGAGTACTCACTCCGGCTCATGACAGCGAGAAGAGAAGGAACTTGAGGAGGAGAAGAAGGACTTTGGAACTGATACGTTGGGACCGACTCTAGTATGGAGAAACAACGAATGAGCAACTTGAGGTGAGTGAGGGAGTAACTCTGGTGGGCAGGGAGCGGGGGTGGGGAGCTCATCATTTGGTAAAGTTGAAATCCCGGTAGTTGTCACACTGTGTGAAATTATTTCACAAAAGCATCTGCTAAATACATAAACATAAACATATTTCTTTGCATGTGACCCATCCCCTGGGGTAGTGGTGAGCTGTGCTTGGGAACCATTTGGTGGTTTAACCCTCCCAATGCCGAGGCATTGGGTCCCATTTTTAAAGTCTTTGGTATGACCTGATCATGGATTTGAACCCCCGGTCGCCCAGTCTCAAGGCAGACACTCATGTCACTAGGCCACTGAGCTGGTTTGAGCTGGTTTGTGGCCTCCTATAGTTGGGCAGCATGATGTCATGACAAGTTTGGTGTGTCTTTCAGATTTGTTGTTTGTTATTCAGTCCAGCAACAGTGTAATCGGTTCTTTTCTTCTTCTTAGTTGGTTTGGCAGATCGCATGCTTCCAGGACACACTGCTGCCCTCTGCTGTTTCTTTCAGTTTACGACATGTCAAAGCGCAAACTCAAAACACAGAGCTCTGTATTTTGTGCCCCACTTTTACATTTTTGAATATGAATTTAATAATTAGGACCTTCTAGCAAACACTGACAATTTAAGAAGAAAAAGTCATTTATAAGCCCAGAAGTTGTATTACGTTTTTACTTTTCCTACTTGTGGAAAGTGAGTGTAGTAGTGATGGCACATCTGCACAGTTTTAGGGATGATTGACTCGGGGCCAATCAGGGAGCAATGGGAGTGTTTATAAGTCGGTTGCTTGCATTGTGTGACATGAGTATCATTTGTCCTGAGTCTCGAGAGCGAGGAGATCGGGTTTGGCCCCTTGGAAGAGTAGGGGTGTGATGCGCTGCTCATGGTGCGGTGTGGGTAGGTTTTTCCGGGTTTCTTTATTTGGGTGATGTGACGGTATTAATGGTTAATGTTGGGCTTGGCAGACTTTGAAGGAGTATCGGTTTTCCTCATGTGGGGGCTAGGAGTTGAGAGGCACGGCGTCGGCGTGGTATGTGTTTGTTTGTTGCTCTGATGCATGTTTTCATCTTTCTTTGGCATTCTGATGTTTGTTTTGTGTTACAGGAGAGAACTAGCACTTAGCTGTCACGCATCTCGTCAAAATCCGGAGGGTTGCTGCTTTGCAGTAATTTCTGGGTTGTATCCCGAGGTAGTGAGATGAAGGCGTGCATCTACGCAGCTCGTTTACGAATGATCTTTGTGGAGGAGGAGACATCCTCGGCACTCAGTTTGGGACAGGCTCAGTCAACAGTACGGTGACTAACTACGACAGGAGCCGCAAGTTAACCCCTCTGTTCCAACACTGTTCCCAGGACAGAAAGAAATGAAAGGCTGAATGGGCCAGGTCTGCCTGGAGTAGAGCCCTGCACTGAAGCCCTAGGCCCTGCTTCGAGCCAACGACTGTGTAATTACCTCAGACACGGGCCGGGCGCCTTTATTTTTAATTGAATTCATAAAAAAAATTGAAACACTTAAACCAGGGGTCGGCAACCTGTTCCCATCAAAGAGCCATTATTACTCATTTCCCACAGTAAAGAAAACACTGGGAGCCACAGCCGCCGCGGCATTGTGGGCGGGGCCTACCCTCAGACAGCAGAGCGCTGCTCACAACAGGTGACAGCAGCCAGTACCGGTCGCTCGTGTACGGCAAAGATATCTTTTATAAAAAGATTATCAATAAAAGGATTTATATAAAGTGGATCCAGAAGTTGTAGCCCGTCTCTGCCTACAATATTTTGATATTTTTCACCCTGTTGGTGGTTTTACTGAGCAGGTGCCACTTTTGTCATACGTTTCTTTTTAAAACATGTTTAGACTGTTCAGAATACAAATCCAGGCTCTGTCAGGTTTGATTGTTGTAATTAAACTTTGTAGGTGGGGATGGTCAGAAAAGGATCCGATCATTTTGTTTTTCCCTCATTTACAGTGACGGAGATAACGGCGCAGTGCGCCTGGCTCTGGTGTTAATCAAGTTTAATTTTATCTATTTTCACAAGAAAACAGAACAGCCAAAAGCAGGGCTTGTGTTGACCGGACAGTTCCCGTATTTGACTGTTTATTTTGATGGAGAAAGAATAGAAAGAATTACCCCGACGCATGCAGACAAACTGACATTTTATTCTACGCAAATCGCAGATGTAGCTAAATCACTCAAGAAAAGATTCCCATCTGAACATCTGAGCTGGACACTGCTCAGCGCAGCTCGCTGTCAGCGCATACTACATAAGGTACACAGCGAGCTGAAGATGTGGAGAGGGGCTTGGAGCACGTCGCAGAACCAGAGCGCATGCAGGAAGATTCCTCCGACTGAAGCAAGTGTTTTCCAAACCCGGTCTCTCAGAGAGACTTGTCACTTAGAATGTCTGAATTCAGTCGGAGGAATCTTCCCGCTGATCTGAATCTGATGCGGCTCTCTGTGCTTGAAAAATAATGAATGGATATTTAAATAAAATGCTTTATATTTTACTGAATTAATTTTATATCTGTAAGTCAATTCTATGTAAAGATTGTTTGCGTAAACCTGAACAGGCTAAACCCGGTCTTACTGTGAGACCAGGTTGACGGGTCACGCTTGTGCATATGCGCTTCCTGAGCTGAAGAGGATAAGAGATTCTGGGCTTCTCCTCAGACGGCTCCTGGATGTGTCGCCACATTGGAGACAGGAACAAGCGCTATTCAGCCAAAGTTTCATAATCAGGGAACATTTTCTAAGTGACAAGTCTCTCTGAGAGACCGGGTTTGGAAAACACTCGCTTCAGTGGTAGGAACCTTCTCGCATGCGCTCTGGTTCTGCAACGCGCTCCAAGCCAATCTCCACATCTTCAGCTCGCTGTGCACCTATTGTACGCGCTGACAGTGAGCTGCGCAGAGTAGTGTCCAGCTCAGATGTTCAGATGGGGATCTTTTCTTGGGTGATTTAGCTACATCTGCGATTTGCGTAGAATAAAATGTCAGTTCGTCTGCATGCGTTGGGGTAATTCTTTCTATTCTTTCTCTGTCAAAATAAACCGTCAAATACGGGAACTATCCGGTCAACACAAGCCCTGCTTTTAACTGTTTTGTTTTCTTGTGAAAATTGTTGGAAAGAGATAAAATTTAACTTGATTACTACCAGAGCCAGTGCGCCGTTATCTCCGTGACGGTAAATGAGGGGAAAAAATTGATCGGACCCTGCACGTCTTTTAACACATTGGTCAGGATTGATGCACTTTGTATTCATTTAGTTGGTTAAAAAAAAGTCAGGCTCGGGCTCGGGTCGGGCCAGAGAATCCTGAAAACCTTTTCGGACCGGGTCGGGCTGGGGCTCCACCCCCTCAGGCCGGGCCGGACACGGGCTCAGATTTTAGGCCCGTGCAGGAATCTAGCCTGGAGGGTGGAAGGTGTATGATTTAACTGCATGGGGAAGGGATAATCAGTAGGAGTCTGGTGTGTGTGTACTGTGTGTGTGTGTACTGTGTGTGTGTGTGTGTGTGTGTGTGTGTGTGTGTGTGTGTGTGTGTGTGTGTGTGTGTGTGTGTGTGTGTGTGTGTGTGTGTGTGTGTGTGTGTGTGTGTGTGTGTGTGTGTGTGTGTGTGTGTGTGTGTGTGTGTGTGTCAGAGTCCAAGCCCCCAGGCCGGGCTCTCCCAGCTGACCGGCTTCCGTCTTGGACCACATTACCCAGCATGCCCCTCGCAGGGATTCCCTCCACGTAGCACCTGCGCCCATCCGTGTCTATATATGGAAGACGCATATGGAAGACGCCACACCGGCTCTTCACTCAGTCATCGTTCCACCGTGATCCATGATCAGAGTATTCTGAAGCTAATACAGCTGAACCTCCACCTTCCTTACTCAGACCTCATCCAACCGTCAGCCTTTCCAGCACCGCTTTCAGCCAGCAGTCTGAAATAAAGCTCTTACTCCCGAACCCAGTCTTCAAGTCTGACAGGATGACTGAGTCCATTAATCCAGCGGAGTTCGAGCAGATGAAGAGAAAGATAGAGCAACTGGTGAACGAGAACGTTCAGCTCCACGCCCAGGTCGACTGGCTTAACACCAGGCTGAACTCCCAGACCGATCTCTCCATGCAGTTGTCTACTGCCGTCACGGCACTCCAGCAGCAGGTTCATGCTCTCCAGTTGCAAGCCCTCACTCCACCGACGGGAGAGCCACACTTCAGTCTCCCGGAGAAGTGGAATGGAGAGACGGGGAGTCCAGACGGTCTGCTCACTACCCTCGACATGCAGTTCGAGTGCCACCCAGGACGCTTCCCCACTGCGCGCTCTCGGGTGGCACAGCTCACCGGACGCACGGCAGAGTGGGCCGCTGCGCTCTACAATTCCAAATCACCGGAGTGCAATGACTACGCTGCATTTGTGGCCGCCCTCAGAAAGACGTTTGTTCCACCCAGCAGCGAAATGGGGGCAGAGGCACGACTCCTAAAACTCCGCCAGAAGGAGCGCTCTGTGTGCGCATATGCGTCGGAGTTCCGCACCATCTCCGCCAAGCTGCGGTGGGATGACTCTGCCCTTCGAGCCGTCTTCTTGGAGGGACTGGCAACCTACATCCGGGATGAGATGGCAGGAATCAAGGTCTAACTATGGACCCTCAGAAAGTCCAGGCGGTGAAGGACTGGCCCCTACCAACCAGCCTGAAGCAACTGCAGAGTTTTCTGGGTTTCTGCAACTTTTACCGTCGATTTATCAAAGACTTTAGCACCATTGTAGCACCTCTCACATCTCTCACCCGACCGAGCCCTCCTGGTCAACCGTTCCGGCTCACCCCAGACGCCGTTCGGGCCTTCCACTACCTAGTCGCTCGTTTCACATCGGCTCCTATCCTGCGCCATCCGGATCAGGCAGTCCCTTTTGTGGTCGAAGTCGACGCCTCGGATGTCGGCGCCGGCGCCATCCTGTCCCAAGGCGGCCCAGACGACAGGCTACATCCCTGCGCCGTTTCGTGGCCCACCTTGGGTGGCCGTTGGAGGAGGCCATCCAAAACGCCCTCCGGGATGACCCAGCGCCGCCAGAGACCCCCGCCGGTCGGCTCTACGTCCCCACGGCCTGCCGCAGTGAGGCGTTGTCCTGGGCCCACTCATCACGCCTGTCTGGTCACGAAGGCTTCTCTCAGACTCTCAGGTTCCTTAAACGGGCTCTCTGGTGGCCACGTATGGAGAGGGATGTTAAGGAATTCACGAGCGCCTGTGAGGTCTGCGCCCGCTCTAAGGCATCCACCCAGGCTCCGGTTGGCACCCTCAGACCTCTCCTGGTGCCCAGCCGCCCCTGGTCCCATGTGCGGCTGGACTTCGTCACAGGTCTCCCGCCGGTCAACGACCTCAACACCATCCTGATGGTCACTGACCGGTTTTCCAAAGCTGTTCACTTCATCGCCCTCCCGGGCCTCCCCTCAGCCTGACGTACTGCAGAACTGTTTCTGGAGAATGTGGTGCGTCTCCACGGATTCCCGGTCGACGTGGTCTCAGATCGTGGTCCCCAGTTCACGGCCCGTTTCTGAAAAGCCTTCTGCCATCTAGTGGGAGCTTCTGTCAGCCTGTCTTCGGGCTACCACCCACAGACCAACGGTCAATCGGAGCGGGGGAACCAACAGTTGGGCCGGTACCTCCGCTGCTTTGTCTCGGCCCAGCCCTCGCAGTGGCCTAAGTACCTCCTCTGGGCGGAGCTGTCTCATGATCTCCATACCTCCTCGGCCACTCAGATGTCCCCTTTCGAGGTCTGCTGCTATGGCTACCAGCCCCCAGTCTTTGCCCACCAAGAACCCGAAGCCGCGGTGCCAGCCGCTCAATCCCTGGTGAGGCACTGCAAGAACGCATGGATCAAGGTGCGGGCCTCCATTACCCGGGCCAACGCACGTTACTCACACCATCATATCCGCAGGCACCGCCCGGGTCCCTCCTATGCTCCAGGGGACAAGGTCTGGGTGTCCACGGCAGGCCTCCGGGTCCGCTCCGGTTCCAGGAAGCTCGCTCCCCGGTTCCTCAGGCCCTACCCCGTGCAGAAGGTCATCAACCCGGTCACGTACCAGCTGCGGCTGCCTACAAGCATTCGCGTCCATCCCACCTTCCACACCTCCCGGCTCAAGCCTTACGTGGAATCCTCCCTCCTGCCGCCTCGGGCTCCAGCGCCTCCGCTGGCCCGCTTCCTCGATGGTGAGCCCATCTACACCGTCCGGCGCATTCTGGACGCTCGCCGCCGGGGCCGGGGCTGGCAGTACCTTGAAGATTGGGTGGACTACAGCCCCGAGGAACGCTACTGGGAGCCGGCCGGCCCGCTCCATCTTGGACCCTGCCCTCATCTCGGACTTTTGGGCCCACCGAGGTGGCCCGGGGACTTCTGGAGCCGTCCCTGGACCGGGGGGTCCTGTCAGAGTCCAAGCCCCCAGGCCGGGCTCTCCCAGCTGACCGGCTTCCGTCTTGGACCACATTACCCAGCATGCCCCTCGCGGGGATTCCCTCCACGTAGCACCTGCGCCCATCCGTGTCTATATATGGAAGACGCCACACCGGCTCTTCACACAGTCATCGTTCCACCGTGATCCATGATCAGAGTATTCTGAAGCTAATACAGCTGAACCTCCACCTTCCTTACTCAGACCTCATCCAACCGTCAGCCTTTCCAGCACCGCTTTCAGCCAGCAGTCTGAAATAAAGCTCTTACTCCCGAACCCAGTCTTCGAGTCTGACAGTGTGTGTGTGTGTGTGTGTGTGTGTGTGTGTGTGTGTGTGTGTGTGTGTGTGTGTGTGTGTGTGTGTGTGTGTGTGTGTGTGTGTGTGTGTGTGTGTGTCTGTGTTCTGTGTTTCGTGTGTTTTGTGTTCCTTTAGGTGATGTTATTTTGGTGATACTTGTGTAACGGAATAGAGTGATGTAACTATCTAGAGTGATACATGTAATAAATTTGAGTTTATTTTCATACTTTTCTACGACTCCAGTTTCCTTGGGCAATAATGGACACTTAGGTATTATAGCTGTTCGTCACATACTCAATGCTAAGTTTCCTTATTGTGATGTCACACTAAGGAACGCTTGTAAACAGCTTGTTGAAGCAAATGATTCCTGAAACCAAAATCTGTCAGGAAATGCTCGGACAGTTTTATTCACCTTTGTTGTGTTTACGGAGGTAGTAGAGACCATCATGGCTGCACAAAAGGATGACAAAGTGAGATTCGCATAAATATGCTAAATGATTCAAAGCCTGAACCAACATCCAAGGATTTTCTATTTCCTCTCAGATCCTGAGCACACCTAACATAAAGGAACTCTGTCCCTGGGATACTCAGAACTTCATCTGAATGAAAGTAGTACACCCGCATGGCCAGGGTTGAGTCAAATAAAGACTCGTGAAACCAACATGTCCCCCAGTTATGGGAAATTCACTTACCTCAGGTCATCAGACAGGCATTTTCAGTGGAGGTTTAAAAAGCAACCCTGAAGAACAACGTACTTCCTTCATCTTTTAGTAGTTAATGGGATTATCTTGTTTTTCCTTTTGCTTCTGTATCATTTGAACCATAAATATAATGCTTTTGTTTTAATAAGTGATGTTTTATCTGTTCAGGGCGTTGCTTAAATGTAAGTAAAGTTATTTTGAAACAAAAAGCACTTTATTATAGTGTCTCTGTGTCTGGAGGTGCTTCCTTCCCCTGGGCTTTAGGGCTTTAAAGCATCACTTGATGCTCAGGGTTAGGGTTAGAGTGCATTTTAGTACTCTGATTACACAGAAACAGACGAAGCCGGGCTTTAGTAATTAATTAGCTACAGAACAGAGGCAACAGTATCTTGTCACCTACCTGAAGGCTTGAGCGAGGCGTTTAGGATCAGGACACACAGCAGGAGAGCTGGCTTCATTGTCCAACGGTAGACAGCCAGTCTTGGAGAGCAGGACGGTCCTCTGATCAGGCTACCTGTCTATGTTGCTGCTTTCCGTGTGGCCATGCCTTCTCCAGCCCTCACCACAGACACTTCCTCATTCACAAC